CCCCAAAACCCCAAAACCCCAAAACCCCAAAACCCCGGGTAGAAATTAAAAAGGTGAAATTAGTACATAATTAAACACTAATTAATGCTTACTAATACATTCATCCAATTTGAAGATTCTCCATTCGGAGACCTCAATGATCAACTAAATTTCAAGGTAAGGAAACTGAGAAAACTATTAGACGCTTTCCCAGTCTTTTAGGAAAGCTACAACCTGAATTTTATTAAGATTGAGGTTTTGTTCAGTAGCTATGAAAGTTAGTAATGACCATGGAAGGTTTAGTGAACCTTTAAGTGATCATATCGAAAAATCTGAATCTAAGTATCTAATAAAGACTCTTACATTAGAACTTGTAGAATTATATATAACCTCAATTATACTACTATTATTGGATTTTTCAGCTTCTAAAGTTTATATAGGGTGATGAAGACCTAGTCAGTCTGGGATGGAGCGGTGATGATCAAATAAACCTATTAGAAGAGTTCGAGCGCTCATCTGACTTGCTCTCAACATTTCAAAGAAATGGATCCTCAGCTAGTGTTATCAATCATGCTCATCGAGAAAATGTATCTTTCTGCATTGAGGATGAAACAAGCAAAAATCTTGTCTCGAAAGAGCAAGGAAAAGGCTCTGGAAAACAATCTCAGAAGAAGAGGACTAGAAGACCAAAATGTGAAGAGAAGAAGAAGCAGAAATTGATAGAGCAAAAAGAAAAGCTACGTATGGATGTCATCAGCAAGGGCATCCTCCGAATGATCAGGAGGTTCTTTCATAGGATTTTTACTGAGAAAAATAATGATATTGTGCAGAAAAGATTCATCAATTATGAATTTTCTGAACTTATGCAGAGAATTGAGAAGATGCTTCTTGAAATCGGACTGACCGATGATCACAAGAATATGGCCATTTTCCTCTTCCAAATATTCAGAATTAATTCAAAAGATACCCTGGAAGGTGATTCAGAGCCGTTCAAAGATGCTAAAGTTGTCAATGCAGCCATGACTGGCTACACAAGAGCCAAGTATACCTTAGTCCACAAATGAAAATACTTCCAGAGATGTCTCCAGTTTATCTATGCTGGGCAGCTATCCCACTCTGGTACTAGGTGCATCGACCACTTGGTGGAGACAGAGCAGAAATGCATGAAGAACGACAAGGAAAAGTATATGGAAACATTCAGGAGTCTCTACGAAGACATCGTTAATAATATCTATTAATTTTTAATATTTCGAGCACTTATTTCTCATAACTGGAAGCAAAACCTAAAACTTTCCTACTAAAAACACTCTCAAGAAGATTTTGGCCTAAAAATATTATAAAAATCAAAGGAAGTTGGATACCTTGAGTCTTTTTCCATAAATCAGCCATTAGGGTTATGTTTATTTCCTCCTCGTCTCACCAAACGGGTTTCCGTTCACCGACATCCTTGACATAGGTTCTTCTGAATCTCCTGCTGGATGGTCTCCAAATTTTTCTAGTAAGCTCTTTGCTAATATTTTTGCAATTTACTGGGTTATTTAATAATCATTTGAATATTTCACAGAATTTTGCTGGCTTCTTCGACGGCCATTTTCTTGGAATCATGAAAAATAAAGTCGCTTTGCTTAGAATCAGGAGGTCAATTCTGGTTTTTCAAATTAGGCTACATATCCAAAATTTAGAAGCACCCAAATTCCAAGAAAGTGATATATCATTAGAGTTTTATTAATTTTTGAGTCCAAATTTGGCTATTGAACCTGGCCTAAGGAGCTAGGTGAAGAATAACCGCCCTGAGAATTAGGAACCTTTTAGGTTTCAATGCTATATGAATTTTTAAGGACCTTCTGTAAGTCTAGTATTCCAGAATTATGAACATCTTTAAGAAACATGACAAAAGGGTGCTCTTTTGGATATACTATTTGTTGGAAAAACCTAGGAGAGTTTTGCGAGTAGTGCTCTTTTGGTTTATCAAGACTCCTGCCCTTATTATGAAAAATCCTGTATGTCTCTTCAACCATATTTGAATAATAAGGGGTTTTGGGGTTTTGGGGTTTTGGGGTTTTGGGG